GATTGAGGAAGTACGTGAAAGGTAGAACAGAAGCGGACGAGAGGTTGTCGCACAACTTTAAGGAAAACTCCAAACTCTTCTGGAAAGAGGTTGGAGGGTCCCGGAGTGGTGCGACAGCCTTAAGAATGAACAAAGTGCTTTCGAAAACCAATGACGTCCTCTCAGAAAAATCGGACGTCATGCGGCGATGGAGCGAATTTTATAGAGAAATGTATGCGTGTCATGATCTTGGTGAAGGATTCGGGGGTGACGCCGTGACTGGCACGCCAGACACGGCGTCACCCCCGGATCCTTCACACCTGTCACACCTCGATGACACTGAGGTCATCAGCATGAAAGAGATTGAACGTGCGATTCAAAGTTTGAAATGTGGTAAGGCTGCGGGACTAGACAGCTGAAATGGTCAAGTACGGTGACAAGACTGCTGAAATGGTCAAGTACGGTGGGCCTCGCGTCTGGGACAGCTTTCATCTGCTGTGCAATTTGGCGGACGGGAGGTGTCCCGGATGATTGGCGATCCGCGGTCATTGTGCCTTTATATAAAGGTAAAGGTTCACATTTTGACTGCGGGTGCTATCGTGCGATCAGCTTGACCAGTTCAGCAAGTAAAGTTTACTCGAAGGTTTCGACACGTAGGATGCAAGAGAAATCGGAAAGATTCTTATGGGAGGCACAATGCGGATTTAGACCTGGAAGAGGATGCACGGATCAAATGTTTTCTATCCGCATGATCACGGAAAAGCTTCTGACTATTAATCAGAGGATTTTCTGTGCTTTTGTGGATCTGGAGAAAGCATTTGATAAGGTTATAAGGAAGAAAATCTGGGAACTGTTGCCGGAATATGGTGTGGATGGTCGATTGTTAAGGGTTGTGCAGTCACTTTATTATGACTGTAAAGCCTGTGTGCGGGTAGGGCATGACCTGTCAGCCATGTTTAGCATCCAAGCGGGCGTAAAACAGGGTTGTGTCATGTCTTCCTGGCTGTTCATACTGTATCTCGACAGCTGTCTACAGAAGCTGAAAAATAGCTGTTTGGATGTGAAATTGGGGACATTAAAGTAAATTGTCTGCTGTTTGCTGATGATGCAGTGCTTAATGCACCATCGGAAGCAGAACTGCAGGCATTAGTCACGTGTATGAAAGAGGAATGTGAAATTAAAGGTCTCCGTTTGAATGCTAATAAAACTAAGGTTCTTGAATAAAACTAAATTTACGGATTCTATCGCGTTTATTTAACTGATTTTACTTATTTTTAATTCCCGACGTTTTGGGTGCTTTACAGCAACCATGGTCACGGGGGACTGAGATGTTTGACGTCCCAATGTCATTGTTAGCCCGGCTATCTTCAGTTTTTGAATATTAATTTTTGGTCCGATTTACGCAAAACGAACTTACAGTATCTTGAAGTCTTGCAGTGGTATGCTTGGTTTTAGGTTTAATTTTGTTAATTATAGGATCCCAAGCAGATGGCAGCACCCAACTATCTTCTCCATTGAAATTAGGATGTTTTTTAATTTCAATAGCCTCGCGTATCATCCTTGGTAGGAATCGGTGTTCTTTTGCGAGGATTTGTGGTTTATCAAATCTGATGTAATGGTGGGGACGATCTTGAACATGTTCACAGACTGCAGACTTCCCGGAGCGTCGGTGCTTCACGTCAGCTGCATCTCAGTCCCCCCGAGACCATGGTTGCTGTAAAGCACCCGAAACGTCGGGAATTAAAAATAAGTAAAATCAGTTAAATAAACGCGATAGAATCCGTAATATGGGTAAATCAGGAATGTCTAGAACAGGTAAATGAAATTGTATATTTGGGGAGTGCTTTCAGCCGGGATGGAAGATGTGATTTAGATGTGGACAAGCGTGTCGCTGCCGGGAACAAAGTCAATGGTACCCTGAATGCGTTAGTCAAAAGGCAAGGCGTAGTGAAGAGTGTACGCCTTGCAATACATAACGCAGTGTTGGTGCCGACTTTGTTATATGGCAGCGAAACCTGGGTATGCCAGAAGAAGCATTAAAGCAAGTTGAATGCAGTGGAGATGCGATCTCTTCGTAAAATGTGAGGCGTTACCATTGCCGACCGGAAGAGAAACGAAGAGATTCGCAATATGGCAAGATTGAAAGATGACCTTATCACAAAAATTGATAGGGGCGTACTCCGATGGTTTGGGCATGTTGAGCGAATAAGTGAAGACCGAATGGTGAAGAAAATATATAGCGCGAAAGTAAATATTAAAAGGTGTCGAGGTAGACCGAGACTAACTTTCGAAGACCATGTGAGCAAATTACTCGAAGAGGGGAAGGTCAAGAGTACTCGGATACCTAGACGTGCATGTATGAAGAAGATAATGAACCTGAAAGAAGCGAAAGAGGTATGTAAGGATCGTGACACTTGGCGATCTGTTCTCTCTGGCTACCCCGTTAGGGATTGTGCGTGAAGATAAGTAAGTAAGTAAGAGTGCATTGTCCAAGGCCGTCGCGTCCCACGTCCTCTATCTTGTTGAGGCATAAGAAGCCCGCGTACACAGTCCACCTAGCAACATCTCGCGTAATAGGGTCAAGGCCCGACCTAGGAATAAAACTCGGGAACCCCTAGGCCCGTCGCTCAACCAGAAAGAAAAATAAGAAAATAACGAAATCATTATGAAATTAATTATAAATTATGTTTTTTTTTTTATAATTTTAATTATTATAAAGCAAGCATTTCTTCCTCACGTTGTGTATTATTCTTCTCCGGTAAACACATCTCCGACTCCTCAACATTACTTATCTCGGTTAGAATATTATTACACTCATTATGTTCCTGAATTGTATCTTCCTCCATGTTGAATAAGGTACACTATTGTATGCACCTATTCACCATTGCACGATGTGCATAAGTAGTAGATACACAATAGCGTGAAATAATTCCAGATGTATGACAGCTCGGCGAGAAAAAACAACGCGACTATAGCGGACAAATGCCCACAGCAAACACCCAAAGACTTCTTAATAGTTGCAAGGCAAAGTGGCAGATTGTACTCTTCGGTCTTCTGTAAAATTTACTGACGGTTATGTATGTGACCTATGGTACCAAAACCCTTTTGAAGTCGTAGAGTCTGAGAGTGAGGCGATTCGTAATGACTCTCGAAAATAGCACGTAGACGCGGCTCAGAAGGGAAATCACTCTGTATTTCTTCAAGAGAGCGTTGTCGCCTTTCTTGAATAACAAGACCACCACAGTTTTGCTCTACGCCTCCGAAGTAGTCTCACCATGGGACGGAATTAAATAGCTGCTGAAAGACTTTAAGCACCGGTTTTCCATCCGCTTTCAGGAGCTCCACTGTAATGTCATCCTCCCTTAGGACCTTGCCATTTTTAAGCTGCTGGAGAGCCATTCTAATCTCGCTCAGACTGAAGTCCGGGATATAAAATAGTGTCGGATAGGACTTGGTCTTGGATCGTTACTCACACCTGCGTGTGGCTCCAACATTAAATAAATAGATAAACCCCAACTAGACGTAAGTTCGTAGGGAAAAACCAAAGGCCGAGGCGTGGTCCTTCTCCAGTCGAGCCGACCCATTCGTGCTATAACTATACTACTAATATAACTGCAGCATGGCTCTACCACGTAAGGTAAAACCCTAGTATGGGATGCTACTTGCGGAGACGCTTTGGCAGCCTCTCATCTCAAGGGTACCTTTGTTTAGAGCCGCGGCGGCATCAGAGCTAGATTAACTAAGTGGCGGAAATATGAATCTCTGAGAGATGACTACATATTTGTGCCATTTGCTGTAGAGACTATAGTTCCGTGGAGTCCACGTGCGGTGAAGTTCCTAAAAGAACTATATTCTGACTGGTCATCGCTGCTGGTGATAAAAGGGCTGATTCTTTTCTTGCTCAAAGGCTAAGTACAGCCATTCAGCGAGGAAACGCAGCCAGCATTCTTGGAACGATACCATAGGGATACCATAGGACTGTATGATATTGATAATTTAAGTTGTTAGTTTTAGATTTTTTACTATAGTTTTTTTATGTTGTATATTTTTCAATGTTATATAGGATTAATAAATATTTAATACTTCAAATTGGCACTCCTTATATATTGTTCATACTGTATCATGCCACATAATATCATTATTATATTTCAACCTACAAATATGTTAAAACTATATTGATGGTGGTTAAAATGAAACAAACTGTAAGGTTGAATACTAATTTTCTTTTTTCTTTTACAGAAATAACTTATAGACCATAGGTCTTACAATAATTAATACGACTTACGTAAACATTAGACGTCATCTTACTTTTACACAATTTCCATTAACTAAAATATGAAAATGCATGTTCGACTTATCGTATGTGTTTTTTAATTTTTGGTTTATTATATTTTTTTCTTTAATAATTATGAAGAAAAAAGGACCTGATGTAAGGTTAAAATAACAATACTTAAAATACGGACATTAAAAAATAAACGACGAAATATTAGAGCCTTCTAAAACGAAGGAAAAGAGGTTCTAATATTAAGTTAAAGGTGTTTTGATTCATTTAACTTAGATTTGTTAATGGCTTTGTTACATCTAAAATAATAAGTACAAATTTTGTTAGGGTTAATGGTTATATCGGAAACGTTATTCCGATCATAAAGTCGCATTCCTTAAGGCAATACAAATAAAAATGCACGTTTCAACACAAAGTCAATATTTCTGACTAGACAGACGATCACACACACATTGGTAGTCCGTGTTTGTAGTCATACAATCGTTTCTTCAAGTCACACTGGGCACAAAGTGTCCATACTATTGAACCGATTTGTTTCAATCACCAAATTTTATAAAAAAGAAATCACAAGTATGTTCATCACTTCAATTTTATCAGAAACCACTCGACGTCAATGCATAATTCAGCCATTTTGACATTGTCAGTTTCCATAAGCAAAATGGCGGCATTAACGTGGTTCTTCCAAAAACTTTTTATCTTTGTTTCACAGGCCAACATTCCGAGTGGGGCGGTGCGCCGATCATTTGATTATGACTGCGGTACTCTTCTGGTACTCTACAGGCAGGAATATGTGCATAAGCTTTTCTATTTCGCATCGGCATAACGGGCATCGATTACATCTGTAAAAAAGCAAAATATAAGTTAATACTAATTTTTGGAAATGTTGTAGATATAATGAAAAAAATTAGATTTAGATTGTACTTAGTGATGCCATTCCATTTTAATGTACCTGTGTGTGTATAAGTGTGTGCGCGCATGTGTGGATGCACGTGCGTGCAAGAGTATATGCGTTCATGTATGTGTGTGTGTGTGTGTGTGTGTGTGAATGAAGCGGTTCCTCACCTGGGTGCACAGAGCTGGCAGCAGACGACGTGCCTGCAAGGCAGCAGCAACGTGTCGATGGCGGCGTCCATGCACACGCGACAAGCCAGTACTTCGCCCCCGCCGCTACAAGATCGCGGCCGCCCCTCCTGAGTGAGAACAACAAATCATAAATATCATTGAGTATGAAATCGTCAAAGAAGTCAATTCCACTCCAATCCAGCGCATATACCTTGTGTGTGCCTAAAATATGAAAGAAAGAAAGAAAATTTATTTATTTAAAAAAAAAAAACAATAACACACAAGTTACAAAAACATAATATACCAACTCATTCTCAAGTCATTGGAATGTATGAAATTGGACCATAGAATACCTCAGTACCCCCCCCTCCCCCGTGACCGTGGGTTAATGTACTTGAAGCGTCAGGAGTGAAAAATAAGTTAATGTACGTGTTAAAAATCTGTGAAAACTAGTTTCATAATAAACTATATACGAAGTTATAACTACAGAACTAACTAGTCCTAAATGAAATCAAAGCAACGCAATCCATTGCAGCCTATCAAAACCCTCTGCAGAACATAATATGCCTCCCCTATTTTGATGCGAAGCTCCAATGGAGCAGAGACTTGGTTTTGCATCATATTCTGTAAGAAAGATAAGAACTCTAACCAATGTTGAGACAGCTAGATTAGTTTATTTTAGTTACTTTCATAGCGTAATGTCTTACGGAATCTTGCAATCGAGTAACTGTAACTCGACCGACATTGAAATAATATTTGTTTAGCAAAAGAGAGAAAAAAAATTAAAGAAATAAACATATTATTAACATTAGCATCGCAATACATTTATGAAAATGAAATGTATGTAAACCGTGCAGTGGCGCTGTAAGAATATCCACTAGCCCATATCGCCTCGTGGTGTCGTAAGAGGCGACACAGAGGGAAATTGAAAACCAATGATGGGCAACAGCAGTTTCCTGACAACTCAAAATAATAAAAAACTGTAGTTGACAACACGTTCGTCAGGCATGTCAACTATGGCAAATCAATTGTACTTTATAGCTATTGAAAAGTGACGGCGGCGGTTCAGACGCTGCAATGAAAACAAATTAACCGCGTTTTTGAGATGTTTAGTTTTAAGGTGTTGATATTTGACCATTTTGTTATCTATGCAACCCGGAGACAGCCGAAATGTAGGCGTCGTGGCAAGATTTACCATAGAATATTATGGCTGTATCGCGAGCACAACATACAGCCTTACTATTTTCAAGTTAAATAATATCATTAATGTATATTTTCAATTAAATAATATCATTAATGTATGCAATAAAAGTGTCGGACTCAACATGGTACCCTGAGGAACGCCAAAATCTACAGATCTAAGATGGCTTGCTTGATCGCCTATTTGGACACATTACTTTCTATCTGACAAATAACTGGAAAACCAGTATAAAGCCAGACAAATAATACCAAGAGCACTTAGTTTCTTAAGGAGCATGGGGATCGATACCGCGTCAAATACTTTAGTTAGATCGAGAAAAACACAGGATCGACCCTGATGGAGATGACTTAAAACCATATCTGTTAGAAGAGTTACTGCATCCTCAGTTGATTTCCACTGACGGAAATCGAACTGACGGTCCGAGAGTATGCTTTTTTTAATAGATAGTCAGCCGCTTATGGACAACGCGTTCCAGGAGCTTATGAATAACCGCCCAGCAGTGATACGGTTGATAATTACAAGGATCGTCCTTAGCTCCATTTTTATATATGGGGATAACTGCCCCAACTTTCCACTGGCTTAGGAAGACTCCTGACGAGACACTTAAGTTAAATATCGCAGCCAGGTTCTCCGCAATTGTGTGGGCTACTGATTCTAAAAGTTTGTTAGTAATACCGCCTATACCCGGGGCACTACCTGAATCAAATAGTAAAAATGTAGTATTGAAATAGTACATCTGGTAGATAATTGGTGGTCACCTCGTGGTTGGCGGGCGAGCGGCGGCGCGCACGCGGCTCGTGCGCGTGTGCGTGTGCGTGCGCGTGCGCGGCGCGGCGCGCGCGGTCGTGCACCTCGCGGCACGTGCGCCTGATGTCAAACACGTAGCGTCGCCCCAGCGTCGACGAGTCGTTGAAGATCGACGCGATCGTACCCTGGGCGCAACAATACTTTCTTATTAATCCATCCATTCATTACTCTGTAGAGATCCACCGCTGAACGTAGGTCGCTCTCATACATTGCCTTAGATTTTGACTCAGTTGCCACGCCCGGAAGGCGAGTTGACATCTTTCGTAGAAAAGATTTCGTAAAAAGGGACGGAAGTGTGTAACAGGAAGCAGGGGATGCGCGCGCTATTTGATTTAACCAATGAGCGCGCGTGGTACCACCAACTAAAGCTATATGAACTATGTATATATATTAATATAGTTTTACAATAATTTATATGTGTAAACTATATTAATAAATGTATTTACTGTTGATAATATTCTTAAAAAGTACAGATAACTGACAAAATGTGAGTTATCAAGTGAGTAACAATGAATAATAATTCGAATAACTATTTCCGTACGTACTTAGCATTTATAAATTTTGAGGTTAATTTTTGTCGCTACTCAATTAATATTTTTAAATTTCACTAAAAAAGACAAATAGCTTTTTTTAGGATGTAATGTCAATGTTTCCTATTACCAAGATGAGATGTCAAATGTTACACATAAGCGACTATAGTTTCTTTTATTATTTTAAGCTACTGCCCATCTCCTATTTAATTTCTCGCAGTCGCTACATACAACACCCACACTATGATATGGATTAATGGATTCTAAACGCCACCTTCAATATTATAGATGTGGTAAACATGTGGACTACGTACAAAATGCAATTTGTCACCTTTAAATATTCTATTTTTACGGAATAAATGATATTATAACACTTGTAGATATATATATATAAAGGTAACAACAATCTAGTGCGAAATCCCACACCTCATTAATTAATTCGAGTATGTCAAACGACTTCATGGATCAAAGTTCAGTCGGTTGTTTTTCTACAAAATGATCGTTTAACATAATGTTACGGACACAAATTAATATGGATTCAATTATCAGAATGAGGGCAACCACGACTTTTCCTGTCACAAGAGTGGCGCCACTTGGTAATACGGTGAAATATTTAACAGAATTTATAGAGGGAGAAATGAATTTGTAATAGTAGCCATTATACTAACAAACAAAAATCTCTAAGAAATTTCACAGGAAAAGTTATAACTAAAACCGTCCTAAATAAAAATAAAAACCGAAAATAAAACAAAAAATTCATATCTCAAAAACTACAAAAATCGCGGAACATTCATACAAATAGATTAGAAATGGATAAACCAAACCACCTAAAGGTATAACAATTAAAAAAAATTAAAATGTGTAAAAAATTCAAGAGTACAGCACTAAAGCATTCTTTTGCGTGTACAGATATACACTAGAAACCAAAAAATACTTCTAATTTGAATCGCGACTCTTCAATGAGATGACACTGTTTGACCGTCTGCCTAATAAATACGTTCACATTATTAGGCATGTCGATTTGAGATCGATTAATCGATTTCTTGTGCCAAAAAGATCGATTTTTTTATCGATATATAGTACTGACTGTACTAGTGTATCGATATTTCATCCTAGAAAATAGAGATCGAAACCTTTTCTGTTTTTATAAGAACTATAAAATTATTAAAAATTAGTTGAATGTACCCAAACTTGTAAAGAACGACAGTTTTTATATTATTCAAAAACTAGCAAAACTGCTGTGTACACAGTCTCTCTTCATAATAGATTAAAGAAATAAAAAAAAATAAGTTACGTTTGTAATCCGTAATTTGTACGAATCTAAAAGGATATCGAAAAAAGATCAATTTTTGAGAAATTGGTCTTTTAGACCTAGATTTTTTTGTGAATCTTTTTCGGATAGAATCGACATCCCTACAGTACCCTTAGTCCTGACTAGCGACATCTGGTGGGCGTAAGATTATTATCCCTCATTGGCAGCTGATCGTCAATTTCTCTGAGTGTTCTTTAATTTTTAGCCTCAGGTAACCGTCCGTGCAGTCAATATTAGGCTCTATTTGAGATCGATTAATCGATTTCTCTTGCCAAAAAGATCGATCTTGAAAATCATTGCTGCCGTCCTAGTTTAACTTCAGACAACTTCTCTGTTTCTTTTACTACTGGACTTCTTTCTTAGTGAAACGTCTATTGCATGTTAACTTTTTCCCCTGTCAGGTTTTTTATTGTCTAGCAATATTTCTTAGAACATGTGTCTGAGGCCAAGATAATTTTCTTACACTTCTATAAGTAGACCCCGTATGATTCTATTACATACTAGTAGTACGTAGTACTAGTAGTAGTACGTAGTACTAGTAGTAGTACATAGTACTAGTAGTAGTACATAGTACTGTTAATTGATTAAAACTACTTTTACGGATTTTATCGCGTTTATTTTACTTTTAAAAAAGTAATTAAAAGTAAAATAAACGCGATAAAATCCGTAAAAGTGGTTTTAATCAATTTGTAGTGTTTGCGTAAATATAAAAAATCATTAGTAGTGTTAAATTATTTATTGGCTAGAATTATTTTTAAATCATGTATTACGTAATTATTATTAACATGTTGAGATATATTGATACTAGTACATAAGCACCTTATGATTGGTGAGTTACAAAACCTTGTTTTGACCAAAGATTTCAGTTCTCCAACAAGTTATCTAATGTACGCAAATTGAATTCTAACGATTAAACATTTATCGACTTATATGCCTAACGTTTTGTTGTTAAGTATATTTTGATAACTTATTGCGTTATTATATATTACATCTGTATCCATGTTCACCGGCAACTAGATATCGTAAATACATTCGACAATCATTCAAATGTATTTACGATATCTTTTATATATATATATATATATATATATATATATATATATATATATATATATATATATATATATATATATATATATAACAAAATATTATAATTTAAATAAAAACGACAACCATATACATAAGTTATTTTAAATTACCGACGCTATTTGCGGCCAAATGAATCAAATCACTGAGCGAATTGCCAGGCATCTCGTGTGACATTAGTTTCAAAACGGAAAATCGTGTTAATTACAAAAAATATCAGTTTAATGTTGTTATGTTTCGTATGGTGAATGTAGAGAACCGGAGACCCTTTTTACTGGATACGAAGCATTCCATCTCAGTCCTTGGAGGTAACAACGCATATATGTATATGTTGATTCTTAATCGAGGATAGCTGTAGTTGTCTATGGGCCACAGTATCCACTTACCATAAGACGGACTGTGTGCTCGTTCGTCCCCTTATTCAGAAATATTTATTTATAAAAAAGTCGGGATATTTTTTGAAATAAAGAGTGACAAATGAGATAAAAGATGACGGATAAGGATGCCACTACAGTCCATGCATTCCGCATCAATAAAGCAACTGTAATGATGTTTTAACCCCCGAGGACTAACACAAATTGACTCATATCCTGTATATATAATAGTTCTCTACAGCAGTGAGTGTACTGCTGCTGAAATAAATGGGTAAGAGCACAAGTGAAATTTTTTCTTTAATATATCCCGTTCTTACGTTGTCACCCGATTCTAATCTAGGTTCAAAATGTCAAATATCTAGCTCATAGGGAAGTTAATTTAAAATCAATTGATAAAATAAATTAATAAATTCGAACTGAACAAAAATACGAAAACGAGTTAATAAAAACGTGGTAAAAATACCAAACCAGAACTCGTAGACTAAAATTAAGCTCTACTAAGTTCTACGAAAATTCTGATACTAGCTTACATCAATAAAATAGCTCAGTACTAAGTTTTCACGTCAACTGTCTGACAACACGATGCTACTTTCATAATAGATTGTAGAGATTGTTACGTTTGTATGTACATAATAATTTAACGAAGTGAAATTCAATCTTAAAAGTGAAATGTAATTTATAAATGGTTGACAAACGATCACACAGTGTACATCCAAAGTTGGTAAAAATTACCTTGCTTATGTCAGATTAATGAAATAAAATGATATGTCTTGCCTAGTTTGAAAAGCATTAAGGGAGGACGGAAGCCCTAGGTACCTTAATTGCGTACATTATCCCCGTCACTACTAATCCAAGCACCACTACACTAATAAAGACACACCACAATAGATAATACGACACGTGTTTCGCCTTTACACAAGGTATCCTCAGGTAAAGTGGACGTGGTGGTAGGTAGGTAAGACACATCATTTTATTTCATTATGCGGATATAAACTAGATCATTTTTAGCAACTTTAGTATAATGGGTTTCCGCAAAGTAAAGCGTGATTCCATCTACAAAGGTACATCCTTGATTAGGAATAAAAATGTACATATTATGTTGTCACCTCTATGGTTTGTTACCAGTAAAAAGGATCTCTGATTCTTTATATTCAACATACGAAACACAGCTGCTATTTTTAGCTGGTATTCTGTGAGAGCGTGGGCCTCCCTCGGTCGAGCCGACTTATTCATACTATAACCATGTTACAGCTGCATGGCGCTACCATTTACTTGGCGTCATTGATATTGTATAATATTTATTAAAAAAAATTTTTATTTTAACCACAAAGGTTACAAAGGGCTATAAGGATATCTTAATGACAGTTAGCATTTTCTGCCAGTCAACCCATGCCGTGGTGAAAAATTGTAGCAGGTGCCTGAGTGCTTAAATAACTAAATTTTATTTATAATTGTGTCTAAAATGTAAGATACCGTACCTTCAGATCTCTGATAAACTGTTCGGTGACATCACTCCTGACGGTCTCACAGCAGTAGAAGGCGTGTTTTTCTGTGACGGCGCGGTACAGCGCAGCCGCCTGGCCTGATGTGGCCATCTTCACGTGAAGGGTAGCCTCGTGTCCCTCGCTAGTTACGTATGACAGTTGGAACAGCCGACGTAAAGGCTGGGCTCTATGGATAGCCGTGTATGGGATGCTGGAATAATAAAAACTCCTATTTAATGTATGTTTAAATTTATTATTCTAAAAATTTGAAGACTTCGCGATTAATTTGGATTTGGAGCGACAGTTCAGGCAGTGTGCGAACTGAGAACTCAAAAAGGTCGTGGGTTTGAATCTGTCATTCGACTACTGTCGTGTACCACTCTTAATACAAGCATTGTAATTTAGCCGGAGTATTTTCAGGGAATATTAGTAATGTTAATAGGATTGTTAGTATTTAAAAAAAAATAGAATCTTTAACGCTATTCAATCAACATATTTAATATTTAAACATAATGTTAAACTGAGTGAAGTCTTCTTAATAGGTAATACTAATTCGTATTTTTTACGGATTTTATCGCGACCTGGATGTTTTATACTTGAAAAGTCGGGATTACTAAGTACTAAGTTCAAACATATTTATAAAAATTGAAAATTCCCTAATTTTTTATAGATTAAGGGCGACAAGCAAGTACACAGTCCACCGCCACAAGACCGCAGCGTCTTTAAACTACATTTATCACCAATTAAGGATCAGAGTGCAGATGCGTTGTCACCTCTGAGGAGTAAGATGATGCTAAGAAGATGCTTCATTTTCAGTAAAAAGGGTATTCGGGTCTCTACATACACCATACTGCTATTTTACGCTGGTGGTCTGTGGTCTCCCCGGTTGAGCCGATTCATACGAGCTTCAGTTATAGTGTGGCTCTAGGCAAAAAAAGTAATTATTAATTATGTCTTTTAGATTTTAAGTAATATATAAATAAATTAGCTGATTGCCACGACCTCGTCCTGCCTGGGTGGTGGACAACGAATTTAATACAATAGATTGTATGGGTTGTAATTTTTTTGAGCTGAAACCTAATTCATTTGCTACAATAAAATGCCTAAGTTACTCGTAATAACATCAGCTATCTGCCAGTGAATGTCCCGTCAACATCGGTCGAGCCGTTTTTGAGATTAGCCGGAACAAACAGACAGACAGACAGACAAATATATTCAAACCTTTTTTTGTTATATGTACCGTATATACTTTCATATGCATTTAGTAAAAATCTGTTATTTTGACATTTTACGTGCTAGAGCCACGCCGCAGGTATATTGTGGTTGCAGCACAAATGGGTCGGCTCGACCGAGGTAGGACCACGCTTTCACAGAATATCAGCGTGAAATAGCAGCTTAATGCTGCTGTGTTTCGAATGGTGAATGTAGAGAACCGGAGACCCTTTTTATTGTAAACGAGGCATTCCATCTCAGTCCTCAGGGCTGGCAACGCATCTGCATTTTGGTTCTTGATCGAGGATAAATGTAGATATCTATGGGCCACAGCACCCACTAATCATCAGGTGGACTGTGTGCTCGTTTGTCACCCTTATTCTATAAAAAATGCATTCAGTAAAAACCTGTTATTTTGACATTACAAACAGACTTCAATTTTATTAATTTGTATGTGATAATACGAGTACTATCCTACAGTGTAAAAGTAATTTAGCGGTTATAATTCGGTCGTTCGTCGTACGTCAGAATTGATAAATAGAACACATGCGTTATCAGGTGTGAGGGCGAGAGCTCACAAGCGTTTCTTTGTTCTCGCGAAACTATATTAGCGTCCGATAAGATACCGCTGATTGTTGTATCTGAACCGCGAATGCTTGCTGAAATATAGTATGTATATATTTATACCTATATAAATATATACTATATAGCATATACCTTCATCTGAATGCGATTTATAACATTTATATGTATATTCCTCTTTTTATTTAAAAAAAAAAAACAACAAGGTTAAGGATAATGATATAGGCTAGGATTGCTCGCTATCTGTTTGTAAATATTGCAATCGAACCAGCAATTCCGAAGAGCAGTCCGGACAGACAGGCAGATATAAATTTAATTTTTTTATATAGAATAAGGGTGACAAACGAGCACACATGCCAACTGATAGTAAGTGGATACTGTGCCCCATAGACATCTACATTTAACCTCGAATAATAATCAAAATGCAGATGCGTTGCCACCCCTAAAGACTAAGATGGAATGCGTCGCTTCCAGTAAAATGGGTCTCCGGTTCTCTACACTCACCATACGAAACACAGCAGCATTAAGCTGCTATTGCCGACCCTTAGATTATTGATAGGTGTTCGCGCGCTCGTTCGCGCTACAATTCCGTGTGTATGTGACTGAACGCTTCCTAAACGACTGGACCGATTTTGTGTGTGTGATGAAATTAATTCGGGAATGGTTTTGATCTCCAATTGGACCCGGTAGATGGCGCAGTTGTCATGATCCAGGAATCACCCGTGTGAAGCCGGGGCGGATCGCTAGTTAATATATTATATTAATTGATTCATTGATTACAGACTATCAAAGTCCACTGATCCCCTGTACAATAAGACATCCGGTTACTACTACGGGCTAATCAAAGTAAGTTGAAGTATTATATTAAAAACTAGACCCTAAGTTATTTTATTTTCACCAATACACATGGCAACAACCTAGATAATTAAGTCTATATAACGTTTTTATTAAAATTATATAGGATTATATATGTAATATACATAAACACACCTAACACCCAGAGGGGTAGGCAGAAAGTACGAACTTCCATTTGGCACGATCCTGACACAGTTGTTCATTCTACTATATTTGAATGTCGTATATCTTAAAAACGTAATATGTTAACATATCAGCAAAATAGATAAAACCAACACGTATCCAAACCGGATCCTATTAATCGCTTAGATACTTAAATATCAATTTTGACGCAAAAGCTGAATATAAAACGTAATTTATAATCAAAAACAGCTGTGTTACAATATTCACCACCCCTATCGTCCCGTGAGTTTGGTAAGGGGCGACACAGAGAAATTGAAGCAAGAGATGGACAGCAACATCGTCCTGATTACAACTCAAAATTATAAAAAAATCCCGCCAAGCGTGGCAAATATGGCAAAAGCCTCCTAAGAGGCAACCTATGGAAGAGATCTTATTCAGCAGTGAATTTTTGTGGGCTGCAATATAGCTCTTCTTAGAAGTAAATCGAGAGAAAATAGTTTTATATGCAATCAGAAATTACAAGTTATTTGTAAACAAAACAAAGGCGTTCCTTCCTTGTATTTTATTAACAATAAAATTATTACTTTACAATTCAATAAAAACATTTCAAGGCGACTGAGGCAAATTGCCGACTTCTATTCTATATTCAAGTCACCAAGCAGCAGTCTACAAGAACATAACACACATTCACAGTCCACAACAGACATAAATATCTCTACAGACATAATATTAGCAATCGCAATTCTAGCTTTCTTGTTCTGTTGACGTTACTCGCTGTTGCTGGTCCTCTTTATTCTACATCAATGTCTTTTTTTACAGAAGAGGGGTGACAAACGAACCTCCACCTGATGGTAAGTGGACACTGTGGCCCATAGACATCTAATATCCTAGAGTAGTACTTCTCGGACAGTCAAAATGCAGATGCGTAGGCACCCCTGAGGACTAAGATGGAATGCCTCATTTCCAATAAAAAGAACCCGATTCTCTACACTCACCATACGAAATACGATAGCATTAAGCTGCTATTTTACGCAGGTATTCTGTGAGAGCATGGTCTTTCCCCTATTGAGCCAACCCATTACTGCTACCAAAATAAAGCTGCGGGATGGCTCTACCATATAAAAATGTATTGTACAACATATAAAGAATTTTGTAGCATCTTAAGAGATACCACCATCTTATTGCGTTAGTTTGGGTGACGTAAGCGGCGACTATGGTATATACCAGTAAATCCCACAGAAGGCGGTATAACCATCTAGTGTAGGTACGCCAGACGTGTACCCAGAAAGGCGACGGGTGACAGTGTCAAAGGTGCTCTCGCGTCGTCGTCAAACTTCCAGCCAAACGTGACGGTTAAGGCAGAAACAACTACAACGGCTTGAGGATTATCAATGTAAGTGAGGACTGTGAGGCATTCCATCTTAGTCCTCAGAGGTGGCAGCTCACCTGTAGCTTTCTGTGTTTGGAGTTTGCTGCAGCCACTTGCCACTGCAGTCCATGGACTTATTGCGGACTGTGTGTTTGTGACTACAATTTTATTTAAAAAAAAACTACATTTTATTGTAAAAATTAACATCAAGTCGTCACGTAAACATGATAATATGAACGCACTAATTTGTTTATCATGAAGTTGAAAGCAAGATATCTCGTAAACTATATTACATGATATCATAAATGAAATTAATGCCGATAATCTTGTCCTGGCCTAATTTCGATCAGGGCAATAACTTCTGAACAATCAGAAGCTACGGATTACGCAGATATAGAGTCTGCGAGCAATGGAGAAGACTATGCTCTGATAGAATTTGTAATGAAGATATTCACTGTAGAACCATAGTAACCTGACACAATCCAACGGATTGGTATGTTGGAGTGACTATGGGCCGATATATTCAATTCAATTTATTTGCTATTCTTGTTGTTTACAGTTGGTCTTAATAATAAAACGTAGTTCGAAACAAGAACCCTGCAGGGGTACTCCAAATATTAGCATTATGATATTATTAATCAAAATATCAATTAATGAATATTTACAAATAACTTAAATGCTATATAATTTATTTCCTATTTCCTACTCAATCACTAAACGAACTCCTACAAAGAGTTGGTAATAACACTTATTCGTCAAATAATATGTAGTACCCGGATGACCGAGCTTTGCTCGGGTTTTTTTTGAAATAACATTTAGATACAAATTACATACCGATGAATAATATTTTTTGATCTTATTGACATAATAGAAAAAATTGAACTGGTTATTGTTTTTTATTTTTTACTTATTGTTGTTGGTTATATAACTGCAATTAGTTTAATTAGAATTTTCGTATTTTTAAAAAATACTAAAAAAAGGGCTCGAAATAAAAGATTTTCTCACAAAAGAAGGGAACTTGAAAAAAAAAAAAGGAAAAAAAATCGGACCGAAGATGGGACGCGAACCAAGGCATTACAAACGTAACACTTATCTGGGACACTATCTACTCCGCCCAGAAGAAGTGAAATTGCTCATGGCTAAGCAACTTCTTCGATTCATTGAAGACATAGGGCTTAGCAGTGAACTATAGCCATAGCAGCGATCACAATAGATCTTCTAGGTCGCAGTGATACTGGTCTCTTTACCTAGACCTGCATAGCTGCTCCCACATAATAAAAAAAAGGCATTACATTTTGCGAGCGCTCGATATCCACTTGAGCTATTACGATCATTTAGTATCAAAATGTACCTTCTTATATTGTAGAAGTTTTTCATTGCCTGAAAACACGGACAAAAAGACATTTTCTAAAAATAAATCCTAGCTAGATCGATTTATTGCCCCCGAAACTCCCTGGACACTAAATTTTATGAATTGCTCGTTTAAAGGTATAGGATTAACTTCTTTTTTGAACTTTTTAGGCTTTTGATTCTGGTATTTTATTATATATTTTTATTGACATTGATTGTATAGAATCCGCTGTTTACGATTTGTAATTTTGATGTAACTGTGGATAATTTTATTTTTGGTCTTAAATTTTTAGGGCGAAAATATTGGGGAAATAATTCGATATTATTTTTACCCAGTGAGCATATTTCAGGTATTATAGGGATACATAATTGGTAAATTAATTTTCCTGCTTGTCGTTGAGTCTATATTTGCAAGTATGCGAATACATTCTTTCTTAAAAAGAAATAAGATAAGATAGAATAAGAGCCCACCCATTCGTGCTACAACCCCACAAGCACAATACAACTGCGACATGGCTCTACCACGTAATCTTAATATACAATAGCTGCTACGTTTACGCAATTACTTTCTAGTCTTAATCAGTTTCTCCAATATCTTCTACCTTTCATGATAGTAGACCCACGCTACAAAGTACGACGGCTGCGCGGATGCGCCGGCTAAGATCTCGCTGCTGTTTCGAACCATATTCTTTTACTGGTTACAGGTTATTCAATTTTAGCCTTCGGGATACGCATCTGCATTTTAGGTCTAAATCTATTATATACATCAAGTGCACAGTGTGTTCATTTGTCACCATTTCAACCGACTTCAAAAAATGAGGAGGTGCTCAGTTCGACTATTTTTTTATATATTTTGATAATTCGTTTTTAGATTTTGATAATTCGTTTTTATTTCAAAGCTGGTGCTTTTCATACTGTCTCATATAAATTCGATCAAGACCTGACCAGTAGTTTATGAGTTATCCTTAATAATGCGTATTTAATTCTTGAATTGACTTCGAATACATGCATGATGTTCTCATTTTGTTTTTATAAAAGTCGGTTGTACAAAATTTTTAATATTACAACCTGTTTTGTATGTAAAAAGTTTGGTTTATAATGTTTATATTTGCCTTTCGGCTTACGAAATGTATTTAGTTCATAAAAATCTAAAAATAACTCACCTTTGTTTCTCGACACCAATCTCTTGGTCGCCATTACAGGCGGGCCGGTACACGACGATACCATGTGGGCCAACACCAACGCACGTGCTCAGTCTGCAACCACACCCTCCAACGTTCTGTCCTGACGTAAGACAGCCGACAGTCGCTCCTCCGTCAATTTCCTGTTCATCCCTCGCTCTAGGCTCCTCTGTTTGTTGCCTGTGGTACAGCAGGTGGCTGTAGAGGTTGTGAGCGTTGTTACTTTGAGTGACAGGTTTACAGAAGAATAGTTCTTCCCCAAAAGATTCTAATTTCGAAATCTCTTTGAGCAATCTGTACTCTGCTTGTGAGGAACGCATTCCCGCTATTTCGCAATGGTACTCAATTATCTTCTCCATATGATCTTCAGGTTTCACACCTTGTGGTCCAATTTTGTTGCACTCTTCGTATATGTGCGTAGGGGGCATATCGGGGTCACAATCGCCAGTTTCAGCTTGAGCGATGTAAGCTATGATACGTCGCGCAACTTCTTGGTCAGCAACAACTAATCTGCCCTCGATAAGGTCGAGTTTCGCGTGCAGATAATGCTGATGACGAGTGGGTTCGTTGATTAATAGGTGGGGCGGTACCCAAAACTTGACACGCAGTTCTAAGCGGCCACCCGGAATGCGGTGGAGGTCGAGGGGGTTTCGCAAGTTGAGCCATCTTCCGGGCCCTGACCCTTGGCATACGCGGAGACCGAAGTAGTCCGCTTCAGCACCGATTTCTAGTTTCTCACACACCTGGAAAAAAGGAAACTGTAATTAGCTTCTAATATATAAGTATATTTGGATTGGTGAGTTACTTTTTTAGATTTCATATTGATTACTGCTATTAAATTTATGATATTCATTGAGATAACTATATAGAATTCGTTGTCCGATCATTAAAATTATAATAAATTATCCAGTCTACCACTCTAATTGTTGTGAAAGTAAAATAACATCAGTTGCATGGAACCTGTAATTATGTTTTTTCAGTAAACTGTTAATTATGTAAACTGAAGTTAGAAACTACATAGTTGATATGCCTTGGATTGTGGCAGTCACTAGGTGACAGGCTTCTTGAAGTTACTTATTTGAAAGTATATCATGACATTCCGTAGAGCATTTGATATTTGTCCCCGGAGGTGATAACCCAGTTGTACTTGATCGAAATAGCCAAAACTTAATCGTGGATGAATGTAGTGGCAGAAACAAGCAAGAAGGCTGCTCCTTGTAAGTGTCAGAAGGAGCTTCAATTTGTTTTGTCGAATCTGTCCCTTTAAAGTGTACCGTTGGACAGGCCCGTGCTATTGTAGTGTAACATCTCGTTAGCTATACGTAAGCATATATCGTTTGGCCGGCAATGGCGGCAGTGTCAAAGGTGTGAGCCGTTTGGTACTGAACCTATATCACCATACATTTCTCGATGATACGCAATGCAATTCATGCAACGGAAGATTCCCAATCTTCCGTTGCATGTTCAGCGGTAGACTTTGATAGACTGTTGCGAATGAATAGATGTGTTATTAAAATCGAATATCTCGTTTGCACTACCACTACCTTGAACAAAAAAATGAATATTTTAAATATAATGTTTAAACTACGTAGGTATTGTCAAGCGCTCAGAATTTTAATGATAACGTGCTAAGTGTGCAGCGCGTCTCCGGTATCACTGGAGATCTTGAGATAAGGTGTCAATGGGCAGCTCGTGTACGAAGGCTGCAGTTACGACGTGTTTTCTCTATTGTTGTTAAACAAAGAATTTGTAATTGCTTGCATTTGTAATTCCTTCGCCCGTACATACAGGAACATAAATAAGTTATATTTTTTATATTTTATTTAGAACAAAATACAAATAAATAGAGTATATCATAGAGAGCTACATCTACTTTACTATAAAAATCTCTCACTTTGTTTTACAGATAATAGTTGTATAGTAGTTAAGTTGAAAAAGATTTTATAAAAAATGTATTCTAATGGAGTCATAAAAGAGCCAACTAAATTTGTTAGTCTTTTGTTTATATTAATATTTAGAACATTAAGGGTAAGCGCGCACTGGCGGCCAGATGGCAGCGGCCAGTATTGCGACCAGGCCGCAAGTGTCGCGACTCGCGACCAAGCATGCAGTTTGCAGCCAGAACTGCGGCCAAAATTGTCAGTCCCGAGTACAGAGTGCTTTGCAATGGACGTCGAGGAAATAGCTGTGATGGTTTATCTTGCAAGTAAGAAGCAAAAAAACAAGAAGAAAAGATTCTGGATTCATCCATTACTGTGTGAAAGACACTATAAGGGATTATTTCAGACATACTTTACTCACTTTAAACAACATAATGATAAGTTTTTCAATTATTTAAGAATGGGCAAGCCCTCGTTTGATAAACCTTTCCAAAAAATTCGGCGGCCAGTGCGCGCACACTGGCGCACGATCCTACAATTCTTCGAATCCCAGTGATCGTGGCGGCCAGCGGTCAATACGGGTCGCAGGTTACGTCGCAATAATCTCATTGGCCGCTGCAACCGCTTTCATCTTAATAAAGTAATAATACACAATAAAGTCGACTTTGATATTGCGACCACGATCAAGAAAGGAATTCTTCGGTGGTATTGTATAGAAAGAAGAATGAGGAAATATTGACAAAGCAAATTTATGTAGCAGAGCGAATGGCATAGAGACGCCCTTGACGGACATTTTCCTGAAGGAGGCGAATGGATCAGCTCTACCTACTCCTCTGGATGACATGCACGAGTGTTATATTTTTAAAGGCAACTGTGTACATACTACATTTTAGACAAGGATAAATAAACAGTATATTATATTTTTGAGAGTTGAAATCTCAATTTATAAATACAACATACTTAAAAATATCTTCCACCGTTCCCACATCGGAAACGCTGGCCTGAAATAAAACTACTTTTAAATATAGACTCGGAGAAATAAAATGATGTGTTCCTATCAATTAATCGTGTAAGGAGCGGTGTGTCCACTAGCCCACATCATCCCGCAGGGGTCGTAAAAGATGACAGAGGGAAACAAATCAGGAGATGGGCAGCAGCGTGTTCCTAATAACGACTAAAAATAAAAACCTGCGGTTGTCAACCCGCTTGACAAGCATGACAACTATGGCAAATATACCCCTCTATCTGTGGGGGACTTTAATGGGCTGTAACGGTAACGGTTATTATCAATTATAGCTTATTATAACAATGATCGCTATCCGCTGCATCATTGAGGAAACGAGACTATGCAGTTCTGTATAATCCAGATTAACGCTATTACAGTCATTTACAAATGGTCTTACGGGTTTGTCCAATTGAACTTCTCGAATCTGCCACATATGTGTGTAAACAGGCGCGTGATGCTATGTTGATCGTTGATAAACTGATAGCGCATGCAGTGTTGCAAGGTTTTAGTATAGTAACACTTGGCGCCGCGACTTGGCGACTATCAGCGATGGATTTATATATGTTTTTGGAACACCGAACTATTATATTAATATTTTCTTTAACACTAATTACATGTTTTTTACATAACGTAAGAGTGACGGACGAGCACACAGTCCACGTGATGGTAAGTGGATGCTGTAATCTATTCTCAATTACAAATCTAAATGCAAATGAGTTGTCACCCGTGACGATTAAGGTGGAATGCCTCGTTTGCACAAAAAGGGTCTCACGTTCTCTACATTCACCATACGAAACATTTTACGCTGGTATTCTGTGAGAGCGTGGTCCGTCCCCGGTCGAGTAGACCCATTCATGCTGCAACTATAAATATAGCTGCACTACGGCTCTACCACGTAAAACTGATTACACAATTATTTATTTCAATAACTATTTATTTTTCTAGAATACGGGTGACAAGCGAGCATAGTTCACCTGATGTCAAGTGGATAGCGTAGCCCACAGAAATCTATATCCTCCCCCTGATGCTCCCATGAAGACTAAGATGGAATGCCTAGATTTCATTTAAAGCGTGATCTCCATACAAAACACAACAGCTATTTCTCACTGGTATTTAGCGTGGTCCTTCCCGGGGTCAAGCCGACACATTCGTGCTACAATCACTGCGGCGTGGCTCTACCTCGTATATACTATGACTTCTTTTAATCAATTGCCTTATTAATAAAATCTAATACTAATGAACTTAATTATAAAATTTATTAATAGCAGTGATCAAACAAGGAAATGTAATTTAAATTTGCTATTATATATTATAGCCATGTGGCCTTTCGTACGTTGCCATATAAATTTGATTCAAGTAGTTACATGGTTTTTTGGTTATGCATTAATACATTACTATTGTATTCTAAATATGGAAATGTATAGACATTTGCTATATCATATTATTATAACTATTTACGCCTCTCTACACCTCTGTAGTGATAAAATTGTAAACAGTGTAAGGCACGCAGTCACCTCGTGGCGAGCGTTATCTAGTAATTGAAGGAAGCTTACAGAAAACTGTGAGAGTTTCACAGATGGTTGATGACTTTAACACACGCCTGCGGCGGAGCCCTGAAGCAGATACATTAATTCAATAATATTATATTATTTACAATTATTACATAAAAAATTAAATATAATGGTATTTGGTAGTACGTTTCAAATATATACGCACCTACATATAATTTGTACATGGAAATTCAATATACTACTGCAGGTGGGTAAGTTGCGAAATAAGAAATGTGTTGGTATCAACCCTGACAGACTTTTAGGCAGAAAAAAGTTCAACAACGTAAATGAATTTACTAATCAGCATTTTCACAATAATGTTTACTCACATTGTAACTTTGTTCTGCAGATATCTAAACATTGTATAATTTATTTATTCAAAACAACAAAAAATAATATACTTATATAAACTTCATACAAATTAAAAGTGGTAATTTAATAAAAACGAAAGACAACACAAAACAACAAAAAACAAAAATTTAAAGAAACGAAAACAAAAGACAGGCAATAACTTTTACCCGATAACAACTTAAAATAGTGATAAGTTTTTAGGATAAAATATACCTATAATAGGTCACTCCTAGCATTGCTCTTTATCCGTTCGTAAAGTTTAAGTAATTAAAAACAAACATTTCCAAAATGATTCATCACCATCATCATCATTACAGCCCTTCACAAGTCCACTGCTGCCACAAAGCACGGTCCTGAGCCACCTGCATCCATCCAATGGTTATTCATTTGTCACTGAAAAGCAGATAAACTCTCAACTTATTATAGGACAGTTACTTTGATTCTACATACATTTTAATTTTATTTATATTTACAGATCTCAGATCTTTATCAAACTGTCTTTTGTACCTACGGTGAGTAACAAGTCTGGATATCCCTTAACTGGTAACGAGGCCTTCCATCTTAGTCCCCATTGGCAGGGCATTTGCAATTTTGCATTCTGATCCTTAATCGAGAATAGATTTAGGGTGTGGATAGTGTAATGTGCTATACCTCATTTTGTAATCAAATACCAGAAAATTTTCCGTATTTGTGTGATACTTTGCTGTGGAGCGATAATACGAACTTAGTCCAATTTAATTATCAATTATTTACATTCGTTTCAATGTTTAACGACTGTTATTTAAATGTATTATAATATAAAATAATTTCATAAACCTAATCTAATGTTTTGTGTTTATGTTATTTTAAGACATATACCTAAAGCGTTTTGATACAAAATTCGGCGCGGAATATTTTACATAAAATAAATAATAAATAAAATAAAATATTTTATTCATACGATTAACGAATTATAT